TTTTTTTTTTTTTGGAAGTAAGTTATTGCACTTACAGTGTTTAGGGGAGGTGGGAGGGGTTGGACTTTCTGGGTGCTTTTTTTAAAAAAAGAAGTCAAATTGCTGGAGATGAGATGAGTTACCTACAGCATTGGCTGAGCGGATCCAAAGGTTGTTGTTGCTGTTGTTGTTGTGTTTGCAATAAACTCCTTCTCTTTTCTCCTCTCAACTGGAATCTGTCTGTTTTGTTCCTGATTCATGACAGATGAAATGTGATCAGAGGGGGCCTCTGAAATCTCACATTAATTGAAGTTGGCAAAAAATACTAACAGTGCCCTTTTGAACTGCTGACACAGTGCAGAATGGATTAGCCAGGGCTAGATTAACAACAGGTGGTAGCTCACAGGCCTGCTGCCTCTGCCCCGTACAAAGAGATGGTTAACAGCCAAAATCCAGACATAGGATCATCCTGCAAGCAAACTCAGAGCCAGCTACAAGAGAGCACTGTTAAAGGAGCTGCTAGTTAGCAAAATGAAGCTCAGGATCGTAGGATCATTCTCATGATGCTATTTCTGCTAGAAGCACTCACACCTGATAACGACATAATACTGGGTCCTTCTCTAGTTCCTTTCCCTTTCTTATTTCTAAGCACTTCTCAAATATTAACAAACTAGGCCATCATATTCTATAGAAATAGGCACGTGACTTGTCCAATGTTAAACAAGCCACTGACAAATTTGGAAATAGGACCCAGGAGACCCGACTCCCTGTCTCCAATCCATTGCTGCCTTTCAAAAAGCAGAGAAACCAGTGGTGTCAGTGTAGGAAATAGCCTTTGAGAGGGTCACTTGCTCTCATGTGTCAGATGTTCAAAACTCCCCTTCCATATCTGTTTCCCTCCTGTGGATATTTTTTTTGTTGTGGCCTTCTGAGACTTATGAGTTTTCTGCTTCACCAGCCGCTGCTACAGGTCACTTAATGGTGATCAGACTGGGTGAAAACTGGCCCCTTGCAACGAGCTTTGTTATCTTTAACTCTTCCTGCACCTTGGGGAACGCTGGTAACAGCAAGAGTGGAGTCACAGCTTGAACCTCCTCAATGTCAGGACTAGGCTGAGACCAAAGGATCTGGACCAGGTCTGATCACCTGTTAGACACTGCTCTGTTTTCTCACACCTTCTCCTCTGCCTCCTCTCAACATGAGGGAAATTAGGGTTTCATGGGGAAATTATCTTTTTGCTTCCTTTCACTGATTAGTTTGCATCTGCAGCCTCCTTTCCCTCTAACTGACTTTATAGATTTACCAAGGTTGACACCACTAGTGAGTAACAGGAATAAGCCAATACACAGATATGCTGCAAGTTTGGAGCAGAACCTGCATTTTGCCACCTGAGCCCAGACACAACAGAGAAGCATTGCAGCTAGAGGTGTCACCAAGTGGCCCAGGAGCCCAGGGCACCTGCAACACACAAAGGCAGCTGCAACTTTTGACTGCAATTGGCACGATAGTGTGAAGTTTTTTCTGCTTCCCAAGTTGGCACCCAGGGCAGCTGCCCCAGTTGCCCCTCCCTCATTATGATACTGACTCCAGCTGATATACTGTTCATAGAATCATACAGAAGTAGGGCTGGAAAGGACCTCTAGAGGTCATCTAGTCCAATCCCACCAGAAGCAGCATCATCCCGATCCAAACCATCCTATATAAATCCATTTTCTAGCCTCTTAGCAACGCCACCCTGATTCAGTGACAGAGCCAGCAATAGCACTCCACACTTCCCCAAGACCACACGCTATGGTGATATGCATTTCCCAATTATAACAGCGGAAGGAATTTAGGGACATAGAAGGCAATTTCCTACAGGATAGTTTGGCTAGAATACAAAATTTAAACGCACCCTTTTTCTTGTGGTGTACAGCCTTGCTCTATCTGAGATTTTTGGATATCTGAATGAAAAGCAGTTCCTTCTGTAAACTGTTTTTATCTGAAGATTTGGCTTCCCCTCTCTTTTTTAAAAGGTGATTAATATTAAATTGATGGACAAATCACAACCTACACTTTTGAGAAAATACTGTTAAATATGTTAAATTTAACATATTTAACATGTGGCCATATGCAGCCTATGTGTTAAGCAGGGGCTGTCCAGCTGGTGGCCCATGGGTTTCTCCAGTCACCCCTCCCACTGCTCTACAGTGGTGGAGGGCCTGGGTTGGTGGGGGGCTCACACTGCCAGCACAGCATGGGCCAAGAGACTGACCACCACCCACACAGCCTGCATGGTGGGGGGCAGCAGGGAGGAAGGTGAAAAGAGGATTCCTAGGAGCCCATCCTGCATCATATGGCCCATGTGCTATACAGCCCTCACTCTGTATTAAGGTGTTGCATTGAATCAGAGACAAACTAGAGTTTATTACTTTTAAGGGATCTTCCACTTGCCCTGTTTTAACTACATAACATAAAAAAATGAGGTTGTTACTTCATAATGAGAAAAAGACAGCTGCTCTAGTACTTCTTGAAGAAAGGCTTATATCCCAGAGCTTCTTGTGCCTCCACAAGGGGCAAGATAAAATTCCAGTTCTCAAAGTATCTTTTCTTCACCATGATGTCTATGAGAAGACATCATATCTTGCGTGCAGAAGCTTTGCTCTCTGCTATCAGTCTTCCACGTATTTGTTTCCTCCTTCACTTCTAACATGTTGAAGTTTCAGGCACTGACCTTGCCTGAACCTACTTGAGCAGAGACAGAGATTTCTAGAGTGGATGTAAAGGGCACAGCACCTCACTTCTAAGTTTAGTGTGTGAGAGGCAGGAGAAGCAGGCATGTGTAAGGGTAGGGGACTGTGCCTCTTGCATGGTGGTGGTGC